GCAAGAAGCTGTGCAATGGGCATGCTTTCTTAAATTGTACAATTGCCACAATGACTTTACTAAAGCTTTAAGGCAAGAAGCTGTGCAATGGGCATGCTTTCTTAAATTGTACAATTGTCTAAAAATGGCCAACAATCAATTGAAACAACATCTCGAAATTTCTACAAAGTATACATAATTTCTTTATATAATTACGGTTATATCACGCTTATAATCATAATTTTTGTATTTTGCCTGATAATCAAAGAAATATGTGATACATAAATTATTCGATTAAGATACAAAACTTTAAATTTATAAACTTCTGTAATAAATTTTTTTTCCTCAATATCGTAGACTTTTGCCGTCGTGGAAGAAATGGACTTATTGTTACGGTTTGCAGACAGCAGACAATACTACTTGGCACGAAATGCTGAATAAAATAAGAGGAAATAATGAAAAAATTTTATACTTTTTAACTTGCCCAAATCATCTGGTTGAGATAAACAACTATATATTAACATCTTATACAAAAAATGATTTTGAGCTTAATTATAAGCCTCCGCAATATAATACAGATAATTACCAATCGTCTATGTCTCTCATATCATATAACAGTATAATAACTCAATACGCATTAAGACATTTTGTTTTTACTATTGCGAATAGTACAAAGAACATTAAATCATTTAGAAACTTATTAAAAGATTTTGAAAATATAACACCCAGGTAATATAATATGTTTCTTCATAAATATATGCTGTAATATCATATATATGAAAATCTAATATATATATGTCACTGTTTTACTTTTATAGTCGAGTCTCAATGCCTGCAGCATTACTCATTCTTATTAATAATATGTATTCTTACCAACAACTTGATATGGTAAATATCACGAACTTATACTTACTTCATATTAACATTATTTATTTTTGGATATATATGTGTACGCATGTGTGTGTGTGGGTACATGCGTGCGTGCAAACGTGTGTGTATGTGTGTCATATATACATATTATTTTTTGATAATTATTTTTATTGAAACGAGAAATTATATCGCTTTAAATTCTCATAGTACAAGACTAAACTATTTATTGACAAATATCGCAATATAATCTCTTATTATTAAGTTTATTTAACTGTGTATATAACATATATGTACTATTGTATCTTGTTTTAATTACGCTAGAAATTATATCGCGTCAGATTTTTATAGTGAGAGAATAAATTACTGAATGCTAAAAATTCTGTTTCAGATATACGATTTTTTCCAAAGCTTCGAGGAATATCGAATTTATAATATATACAATAAGATAAAAACACGTAAGTTTCAACTTAACAGTCTTGAATTGTTGCTTAAAAATGTATCTCCAAAGCCTATATATGTATAATCGATATTATAATTACAGTTAGCAATACTTTCATATACTTTATATCTCCTATTGTTAAAACAACATAGATATGAAACAGACAAATGTAATTACTGCGCTTAGTTTATTGTTTCGCTTATTTTGATATTTCATAAATTATTGTATCGCATTTTAATAGATTTTAAAATTAATGACTAATCACGAAATAACGTATCATCGGATCGGTGATATTTGAAAGAGAGAAATAAAAAATTATTGTTATCTCTCGTAAAGCTCTTCGGATACTGTAACATATTGGATATATATATATATATTAGATATTATTGCATGCGAATTGCATTATTAGCAATATTTTTCGGCGAATTTTTTTGCGGGTTCCGCGCTGAGATTGTAAATTCAAAGCAGTGAATATTGTAAATGAATAAAATGTTTTATGTTTCTAAGTATTAAAAACAATTTTCTTACTTTAATTGCATATTTGAATGTAATTTTACGTAATTATAGATTTTCCCAATTTCGAGAAATGATTAATCTGGTGTAACAATCATTATAGCCATTATTGCACAAAAAGGTTTTCTAAATTCCACGAGGGTTTACCCGTTTTATCGATACAGTGCAATATCACTTGGCAACATGCCTCTGTTACGAACAGTTACGTTTTAATACATTTTCGCTGTCTTCAATAAAAGAAATTTATCATTATTGTTAATAAAATATTTGATCGCGTGTTATTATATTGTTTTTGGTACGTTGAACAAACGAGATTAAAGGATGGAGAAAATGAAGGAAACGGAAGAATCATCGAATGATCCTCATCGAGAATTTTTGGACGTGGACACGGACGAAGAAGATTTTGATCGACAAATTTCTTTTTTTCAAACTTGATTTTTTGGGCTTTTGACGACATGTTCGCCAAATCAATGGATTAATTAATCGTGAAAAAATAAGAAATTAATTGTATATACAACCATGTGTGTTTGCGATATTTCAGAAACCGAAGAGGAACTTCTTCCTGAACCAGTTAAGCCGGTCTTTGATGAACAAGATTTAAATAACTTGGTCAGTTATTTCTTTGAATTTATTAAGTGCTTTTAAAGTTCTTTTTCTGTGGCTTGAATATTAATAGAAATTTTAATAGATTGTTAAATATATATGCAACATTTTAGTAAAAAGAATTTGATTTGATTTTCTATTTTTTATTTCTACTAATGTGCAACAAAATCTCTCACTATAATAAGATTTGTTGTAAAATTTCTGTATTTCAATAGAAAATAATACAGTATCTTATGTGATTATTTAATCATAATACTTTTCTTGTGAAAAAAATCAGTTCTAAGTTAATTTAAAAATATGTGAAAATATCGTTAATTTTTTTCAACATTCTGTATTAATTTTTCATAAGCAATCCAATAAATCGCGGAGATGCTTATGAAAAAAACGAATATAAATGAAAATATATGAAAAAATAAGTATATAAAATACAATTTTATATATCTAATTGCTTACGCGCGCACGTATGCTTCTCGAGAAAAATTTTTAAATAATACATATTAACAATTGTTGCGATTATTTATTTCATGATAAGATATTTTTTAACCTTGGAACTTGTTTACATGAGACTACGTGTCTATAATAATGTATCGTTCTATAAACACCTTTAAAATACCTTGTGGCCGATTTATATTGTCTGGGTTGTTAGTCTTTGATGGTCTTTTGAAATAATAAGATCGTCATTATATATATAAATATACTCGGTATTAACGGTTTGTGGCAACAATGAGTTAATTACAACGATCTGCGTTAAGAATACAATTTCATTATACGAGTGAGTCGTCATAATATGAACAACTAACATGAACTAACATTAGAATATATATATATATATATATATATCTTTCAAAATGCAACATGTGTGTAGAACATAATTGAAATGATATCAAAGTACAAGCATAACGGGCATAGTTTTATTTCCTCAACATCCTTTTTTCAAAATCATTTCTCATCATTAATATCATTAATGTAATGATCTCAATCTATTTTAATATAGACGATTTCCAATATGTATCATACAATATCATGTAGAAATTATTTTAAACTTAGAAAATTTTAAACTCGAACAAAGAGATTTTTATATATAAAGTTTAAATATTACACATCTAATTTATACATATTAAGTATTGTACATTATATTATACATATATGTATATATAGAACTATTTAATAATATCTATACATTTTGTTTTATGCATTTCGTGTGTGTGTTTGTCTTTTTTAAAATGCAACATGTGTGTAAAACATAATTGAAATGATATCAAAGTACAAGCATAACGGGCATAGTTTTATTTTCTCAACATCTTTTTTTCAAAATCATCTTTCTCATCATTAATATCATTAATGTAATGATCTCAATCTATTTTAATATAGACGATTTCCAATATGTATCATACAATATCATGTAGAAATTATTTTAAACTTAGAAAATTTTAAACTCGAACAAAGAGATTTTTATATATAAAGTTTAAATATTACACATCTAATTTATACATATTAAGTATTGTACATTATATTATACATATATGTATATATAGAACTATTTAATAATATCTATACATTTTGTTTTATGCATTTCGTGTGTGTGTTTGTGTATGTGTGCGCGTGCGTGTGTGATAAATATATATATGACCAAAAAATATATATATGACCAAAAGTTTTTCTAAGATTGTTACGCTAGATATAAGTGTATAATAACAACGAACAAAGAATGAATTCTAATTTTTCTTGTTAAAGAAGATGTATATGTCCTAATAAATATGAGTAGAAAACAAATTCAATTTAATTTGATATATACACATGTTTATATGAAACAATATACATATATTTAGAAAAGTTTAAATAAGATAAATCAGATTTTTTTCAATAAGTTGCAGCCGTTATTTAAATGCATGTGTATAATACAGAATAAATAAATAAAACTATATCGATCATAAAAATCAAAGATCAAAGGGCGCAATAAATCAAATACACAACGTGTGACTTTCAAAACACATTACAATTGCTAACAAGTTTGTTAGCAATTGTTAGGAATTTAATATAATTTTTCTTGCTCTGTTTCCTTATCCAACAAAAACGTTCTGTTACTTTTAATGTTCTATTACAGTTTTAAATTAATAATTAATTATTAATTTATAATTCCAATTTACGTTTAAACATCTTAAAACTTTTTCTTCTTTTCCATAATAAAATCGTTTTTTTATTAAAAAATTGCGAGAAATAATTATCATTTTAGTCAAAGGTTTAATAAGATGACTTCTGATTTAAATGCTATTTTTCATAATACGAATTTTTTCATCATTATAAGAAGAATATAGGTTGCTAAATGGTTTTCTTTTTTTACATAATAGAAAGAATTCCTTATTATACTACTTTTTTATTTATATCTTTTTTAACAAAGAAATTTTTTTGCAAATAGAATTGAAGTGACAATTGAAATGGCACGTCTAACATTGTTATTAAATGGCGTTCTAACATTCATTGTCGTGACGGTATATTCTTCCGACGAAGATGCATTGAAATCATTGACCAACATAATACCGGAACATTATAACATCAAGCTTAGACTACGTGTCGAACAAAATACTTTCATCGGCGACTGCGAGATTAATATCCAAATTCTTGAAACGACCCACAAAATAACCATGTTTGCAGAAAAAATGAGCATAATGCAATCAAAATTGATGCTTCCACTGTCTAACCCGAATACATTTGAGATCTATAATGAAGTCGGACATTTGTATGATTATGATAGAAATATGTTCAATATTTATTTTAATGAAAAATTATTACCAGGGTATTACATTCTGAATGTAATATATACCAGTTCTATGTTTAATGACGGAGGTTTTCAGCGAATTTTCAGCAAAGAGAGAGTAATGTAACTATTAAAATACATAAATTATTGAGTACATATTGTTATAATATACAAACATCATTCATTATTAATTATTACTAACCATCATCGCTATGAGATATGTATATAGAATTTTAATTAATTTTGAGTATTAAAAAATGCTCTTTATCTGTTGTATATTCTAAATGTTTCTAATATTATAAACATTTTTTAAATATTATTTATATAACTTTTTATGTTACTTATATAAACTGCAAAAATATTGTTACATATAGTATATCAAAATGTAATTGAAACATACAGAATAATAATAATATGGTGAAAAAATATAAGCTTTTTCTCTAGGTATCATTTTGCGCAAAATTGCACATTTATACAAATATATTATTCAGTTTCTGTATCTCTTACTTTTATACTAACAATCATTGAAATTTTTGTTATTTTTTTCGATATTTAATGCGCATCGTTTAAATGCCATAGATGGTTGTCCGCAACACTTTTCCAGCCAATATGGGCTCGACGAATGTTTCCATGTTGGGACTCATTAAAGACCACCTTCAATATTTCCGTACAACATCCTGCAGAGTATACAATTTTGTCAAACACGCCGATGCGAGTAATATCTGTTATCAAATTTGAGAAGGATTTGGATAACAATAACATGCAGTGGACACACTTCTATAGAACTCCTGCAATGTCCCCCTTTCTCTTATCGATTGTTGTAACTAATTTTATTGGCTATTTCCTTCATAATGATAATTATAATGCCACCATATGGTGCGACAAAGGATCAATAAGTTCCTTGCAATTTGCACGGGCGATTGCTGGAAATGTCACGTTATACTTGGAAAGAGAATGGAAGCGTTTGCAACAGTTTCCGAAAGTGAATTATTTAGTAATTCCGCATTTTCAAGAGCGAAACGATAGCATGGCGAATTTGGGAATCATCCTTTATAAGTAAGTACATGTTAAAAAAAAAATTAGTTTATTAAAATAAAAAATATGATGTTTGATATTTAAAAATTGAGAGATTTACAGTCATGCATATTTTTATGTGTCTAAGTTGATATTTGATTAAAAATATGACATGTACAAAGATTTTTGTACATAATTACATTTTTTACAAATGTTTTTTAGTGAAGCAGATGTTGTCTATAATGAGGAAACAGACTCTATTAGATGCAAATATAACGTGATGTACGTAATAGGATATAAAATAATACGAGAATGGTTTGAGAGTGTAGTCAATCCATTTTGGTGGCCTAACTCATGGTTGAGAAAAGGTTTTACTACGTTCTTTACAATGCATACCCTCAATCAGGTTATTTTATTTGTTTTTCTACATAATTAATTTCAGAAATCCTTATCAAAATAAATAAATATATATATATA